AACTGACCTAAACGAAGGCTAAAATTAAGCTATCGGGAAGGTGATAGCGAGCTACCAAGGACATCAGTCTATCTGATGAGACTAAAAAGTACCCTATTTTTATCCCCTAATATTCACTCTTTTACATCAATTTAGCACTTAAATGGACTCATTACTCTTGTATTTCGATTCAGGGCAAGAAAGAAGGCAATTGGAAGAAAACAGGGCAATTCGGATGATTTTGCACAGTTTCGGCAACAGTCAGTAATCTGGGTATAACTCTCAATTTCGGACCCCGAATTGGACAATTCAAGAGGCATTAGAAAGATGAAAGAAATGCCCACAACTTTTATGTTTTAGGTTTTGACAGATTCGGTTCGCATCGAATACGAAATCAGGCCCGAAATTGGAGCAAGTTCGCAGCCAGGCCCATTTCACAGCTGAAGCCCAACTCACAGAAGTCTTGTAGCAGCCCAAGTTTTTATAGCAGCCCAACTCGAATTCAAGAGCCTAGAGTCCCAATTTCGAATGTAACTTCCAGAAAGACAGTCTTATTATATTTAAATTCTTGAATGTAATCCTATCAAGATAAGAAGATTGGATTAGATCACTAGATAAGAGATAGAATATGATTAGTTTAAAACAGATTAGGACTTTCTAATTTGAAGAGATCCAAGAGATCATTCAAGCAACTCAAGTTACCAAGAGAGCAGTTCGACCACTGAGAAGTTGAGCATGGAGAGTTCGAAGATCATGAGTAGCTAAACTTCTCTTTTCTAGTTCAAGGGGGGAGGTTCGGTTGAGTCATTGTGAGGTTCTGTATTTGATTTAAGTTCTTGTTTTCTAATTCAAGTATTCATTGATTCTTGTGCATATTTTCATTGGATGATTAATGTTATTTAGTTCTTGTTTTCTAATTCAAGTATTCATTGATTCTTATGCATATTTTCATTGGATGATTAATGTTATTTAGTCTGACAAACTGAATTAATGTTGATTTTCCTACTGCTATCCATGATTAGCTTAATATCTTTTTGGGTCAATTGTTCGTGACAGCCTTTAACCAATGTATTGACATGTTTTAACCTAAAGGGAATCGATGGAACAGAATTCGATAATTGCAGCTATCTCAATTATTGTTATTTTAGTTTAACTGTTTTCACAAAGCTTAATGTTATCGCTAGTTGACATGGAACGCTATCGTACCCAGTCGATTAGTGATAAGTGTTGATCGAATGCTGGGTTTGGTCAGCTGATTTAGGARAACACAAGGTTTATTATGGCTATCCTAATAAATCTAAGGTTAAATGCTTGAATTGCGAGACCACCAAAGTCTACCTATGATCGATGGCCAATTGACTAAACCGAACCCTTGAACCAGAATTCAGTAAGACTGATTACTTCTTGTTAGTTAAATTTTCTATTGCTTTCTTGTTCTTTTAATTTCGGTTATTTAATTTTCCCACTCAGTGATAATATTCATTCGGTTGAGAGATTACTGTTAGCTCCCTGTGGGATTCGACCTACTACCACTTTTACTGCAAATATTTTGTTGTGGGACTAGTACTAATTTTGAGGGCTTCGACAACCCGTCACTATCCGAGGTCATAGTTGAGGGACCGAAGTCGTCTGGGTTCCGACCTCAGGAAGAAGATGGGGCCTCTGTTCTAGAGGACAGTCCCTCTTCCTGAACCTCGGTCTCCCCGAGCCTAGGTGGCTCATTCTCGGGCATCGACACCCCCTCCAGAAACCGAAGAGGGGAGTCACCCAGCGACGAACTGGCGTCCCCCGAAGGGGCCGCGGTTAGCATGATGGCACCCTTGACCTCACTACCTAAAAGGTTGTCTAAACTAGAACTAGACATACTTAAACCAATAAAATACAAACTTAAGAAATTTGCGAACTCACCAAGAAAAGAAGGGAGAGACCTCGAAAAACTAAGAAGGGGTGGCGAGCTGAGGGGTTCCGACGCGACCTTAGAACAAACTTGTGAATTTGTGGCGAGAAAAATGAGTCTCGGGTCCCCCTTATTTATAGCCACTGTACCGGAGAAGCAACGGTCGAGATCAAAGCAATCTAACGGCTCTGAAGAAAACCGGTTGCATGACCCTCGAGGTCAAAAACAGTTTAGCACATTTTTTGGCATCCACAGAATTTATAGATCGCATGACATCCGCACGCGACCTATCTGACAGAGCGGCCTGGACTTCGAGCCAAATCGACTTGTCACATCGTGAACTCCCCGCACCAGGTCAAGACCCCTAGCTCAGGGAGTGGGGGGCAATTGATGAAGGAAAATTTGGCCCAACCTCGTAACAGGGAGACACGTGGACGTGACTCGGCATAAGTGACAACTCAACATGATCAGATCGGTACGTGGACGTGACTCGACACAAATGATAGATCAGTTCGCTACAATGCAACCTTGGGTACCCTGATACCCTGAACTGAAGTCACTCTGGTATCACATCGCGACCAGGATAACAATATCAAGTCCGCTACAGATCAAACCCGGACAGATGGACCACTTCGGAAAGAATCCACTTCGAGACAAGCCTACCTCGGTGCAAGTTCATCTCAGTACTAAGGCACTTCGGCATTCAGAGCAGGATGGGTCTAAAGAGCACGGGCTTAGGCAACTCGCCACCAAGTAGCCCGACACTTCGCAGGAAGCTCGCTACCTAGTCAGGCCGACCTCCACGTGACAACCCCGAGGATCTCACCACCGTACCCCGCATCTTATAGGACCGTACTCTGTAACGGCTACATTAGTTCACCCACTCCCCGATACAAGCGGAAGTGGGCAACCTTACCAGATGGTGGCATTATCCCCACCTAACACGCAAACGGATCCCATCACAGCGAGGATCCAGGAACTGCTCCGCCAAACCCACGTAGACTCTGGTATATAAAGACCTCACCCCTCAGGGGCAAAGGTATGATGTGTAATCTTTGCTCTTTAGTTCTAGAATTCTCTGATATCATCTTCAAGCTCTCTACTGTGTGCTAACTTAAGCATCGGAGTGTCCTTGCCGGGTAAACCACCCTGGGATCTCTAATTCATCTCTTGCAGGTTACTCAGTCCCCGTCGTTACTGGCAGCCAGATCGTCTCCAGCAGGGAGCAGCCGAATTACGCCACATCATTCACCGTCCCAAGTTAAAGTATAAAAACTATATATATATAAAAAGCATTCTACAAATATTCTAATTGTTTTCTCAAGTGTTAACTCTATGGCGTCTAATATATTGTCCTCTTTGCATCAAAATACCAACGGCTGAACACGGTGAACATCATTGTGAGTTGTGACACTACGGAAGGAGATTGAAACTATCCATGTGATTACGCATTGAAGTATATATTAATTGTCAATGACCAATGTTGTTCGTAGGTGAAAGAAAATCGTAGTTTAAAAAATGCAATTCGATCCGATCACAAACTCTTTGTATTGATCTGGCTGAGCAATTGGTCTTTTTTTTTCTTTGTTCTGTGAGCTTAGAAATCGACCTGTTCCGTCGTATTTCAAAATTTAATTCAGCAGTAATGCTGGTTGAATTCAAAATTTAATACGGGGACAACAATAGGAAACTACAGTAGGTGGAGCATTGGAGAGTGACAGCACCATGACTAAGTCATCGAAATAGTGTTACTTACTTCTTAATGCAAATAGAAAGCGTAAGATGTTCTTTTGTAGATTAAGAAACAACACAAGATGGAGAGTTTGACATGATTTTCTGAACTAAACTATGAATTATCTTACTACTTTTACTTAATAAACAGTATTATAATTATATCAATAGACATGTTTGCACGCCTCTTCAGTGGAATCTTAATTTGGGAAGTTATGTAAAACCTCCCCTCACTATTCATTTGTATGTTATATACTTTCTCTAGCCGGCCCCACCCAGCCTGACCCGTTTGGTGTAACAACTGAGCTTGTACAGATTCTTCTTAGTGGGTTAGAGGTCAATCCGCCTCTCAGTGAGCCTACACAAGTTTTATAGTTTTTTGTTCAAAGAATGACCTCACTCTGTCACACAATTGCCTGTATCTTTCATCCTTATCTCAAGCCCTACCTTTCTCTCACCGTCTCTTTTGTTTCTCTATGTTTCGTGAAGTTCTCTTCATTTAAAATATGGCTATTTACACTTACAGTCATTCAATTCTTTTTTGCTTTCTAAGATATCAGAATTCAGTTTTACCAAAAATCACCAAAGCCTTTTTCCCAACTATATGTCCACTCTACCGTGTTCAACTTTATCTTTCTAAAATCTTAACGAAGGTGTTAAAGGCTGGATATTCGTTATACAATCATAACAAGCAAGAGTACGCAGAAATTAAGGGGCCAAATAAGGTAGGGCTGCAACTTGCGTTGGGTTATTAGGGTTGAGGCTTGACCCAATCTAATGCAACCACAACCGGACTTGTCTTCATATTTTTGCGAATGCTAATGTTTGGTTTTGATATTTGGGTTGCAACCGGACCCAATCTAATGCTACTTTTGATATTTGGGTTGCAACCTCCCCTTAAGTTTGGTAGCTGCAATCACCTTGGAATTAGACCCCCTTTAGGCTATGTTTGGTTTGAACTTTGAAGGAAAATTCCTTCAAACCAAACATATCGAGGATGGTTTTTATAGAAAAAACAATACAAAGTTTGTAAAAAAAATAAGAGCTTAAGGTTGCAGCTTTACCTTAAATTTGAAAAATAGAGATACCTGGGGTAACCATTGATATGAAGAAGAATTTGGAAAGAAATCCTTTTTGGTAAAAAATAACTGGGTGTAGTTTAGACATTTTCATACATCTTGTTAGAGAATTCTAACAGAGGGGGTTTACTTATAATTGTGTTATAAAGTTCACGTGGTTTAGGGGAGGTTTCAGCAACTACTAGAAACTTGGGGAGGTGTCAACAATTTATCACAATTTAAAATCAAAATTGGGGTTTTGTGCTTTGTAACTATCAAAAGATTCAAAACACAAACAAATCATGAAACTTACCCAAACGCGACCATAGTAAGAGTGACCAAAAGTATGGCTTTCTAACCAAGGATCGGTATCCGTCACCATGAATACACCTTCACTAACCCACTTCATAGTCTCACCTAACACCTTTTAGTAATGTATTGGCACTACTGCTTCAATTGAAGAAAGCACTAAGCCTCTATATACACAGATATTTTTCAAACTGTACAAAGAGATGTGCAATAAAGCAAAGAAAAAATGAAAAACGACCACCTCGAATCCGCATTCCCCTCTCCACCCTACTTTAACCCACCCGACAAGGCCAAGCAACTCCCCCGCGACAAACATGGAGGGGGGAACAAGGCAAAACAAAAAATGTTGAAGGAAAAAGATGGTAGAAAATATCCCTCAATCCACCTAGCTACTTGTATCTATTCCTCTCCGTATCAAAATTAAAAGAGGAGAAATCAAACAGCAAAGAAACAATAAAAGAACAAAACAATAGCCTGTCAATTCTCCGCTTCTTCACTTCAAAAGATGCTGCTGCAGCTGATTACGACGATAACAAAGAATTTATTTTTCGTCAATCACCTCGTCATCATCGTCGATACCGTAGAACAAAGGATCCTTAAGGAGGTCCGAGGCAGATGGTCTGTTCTCCGACTTGGCCAGACACTTCTCTATGAACGCCCTGACTTCTGAGTCCTTGACCTTGTTCAGGGCCTGAGGTTTCACCCCGGCTGTAACCTTCTTGTATATCTTCACGACGCTGTCGCACTCGCTGTATGGTATCTCTAGCGTCACCATTTCCAGCACGCACATACCGAACGAGTATATATCCACCAACTCAGTGTACTCCTCCTCGTACAGCTCCGGTGCCATAAACTCCGGTGTCCCCAGCACTGAGTGGGCCGCATGGCTCTTCCCCACTATCGTTGCTAATCCCAGATCTCCAATCTTCACCTGTCCAATGTTCCCGTTGATGAAGACATTGCTGCAATTCAGATCTCTGTGGATGACGCAAGGTTCGTGAGTGTGGAGATACTCCAGACCCTTGAGAATCTGCTTGGACCACTTCTTTAGGGCCTTCATCGACACATGGCGATGCTTCTTTCGATATTCTCTCAGATTACCCGACGTACAGACCTCTGTAATGAAATTCAACGTGTTCTGCTCCTCGTCCATCCACACATTGTACAGCATAATGATGTTGTTGTTCTTCAAAGTCCTGAGCAAACGAACCTCCGAAAAAAGGCGATCTATAACCGAAGCATCCTCGATGAAATTCCTCAGTCGGACCTGGTTCCATGCCACCTCGATTCCTTCCTCTTGATCGAACGCGCGATAGACCTTTTTCACCGCGCCAGCACCAAGCAGATCGCTATACCGACCGTATCGTCCCGTGGGATCCACCTCCACGAAAGGCTCCGCATCTTTGTCGGACGGATCAGGAGTCACACAAGGCATCGTCCGATGTCAATATGAGCCAACGATCACCAACACCGGGAGAGAAACTCCTAGTTTCTGGGTCTTAAACCCTAAAACCAAGATAAAAAACGTTCAGACACATCACATCGGCAGAAACGACGACGAAGAAAAATCCAAAGAAGCTCAGACCGGACGAAATGAAAGAAAAAAAAAATCAAGCGTTGGAAATCGAAGCTCCATATACAACGATGGCCATGGCTTGGAACTCTTGAGTCTCAATTGATCGAAACAAGAAAACTGAAAAGATTATTAAATTATAAAAACAGAAGCAGAACAGATTACCATGAAAAACGACGTTAAAGCTTCTCCGTTGTACGAGATGCCGGGAGACATCTATCGGACTTTCTTTGATCTTTTTCGATCCTAGGAGTGACAGTAAAACAACAAAAAGGCAGACAGAGAGGCTGAAAAAAAAAAATCTGTCAGAAAACAAACAACAGCAGCACAGAAGCACAAAATAATGGAAAAAGAAAAAGATTCGGTAGAACCCTATTTATAGACGGCGAACTAGGGCTTGCTTAACGTAAGAGTTAATCGTAATAGAAACCGAGTTAGGGTTAAATTGGTAAAGCGGAGCTGAGTTTTTGACGTTATCAGATTAGGAATAAGAATCCTAATCCTAATGAGAAAACTCTTATAGGATTATTAGCATTTAGCAGCGGATTTGACAATATCTACCTTCCTAAATTCACATAGAAGTAGAATATCCTCTTCCTCGGAATCTTTCTAATTTTCCTTTTTTTCTAATCTAGATTTACCTTCTTGTTCGGGGAATTTGCCAGCTGTACCAAGGAAATGGAAAGGATCATACAATTGTCATCTTTTTCATCTAAATCTAACGGTCGTACATTCCATACTCAAGCATAGACTTAAGACTAAACGTGTAATTTGGACCCAAATTGGAGGATAATTACGCGATTGTACTCGTTTTCCTTTTATTCCCAGGAAAGTAACGAGTATCGTAGTTAAAGTGGAAGGATAGGAATCCCACTTAATGGTCTTTCATCATGTGAGGATGTGACCTGTGTAGTAATTAAGATAATTTTTTTTTTTTTTAAAGGCATTAATTTTTAATTGAATTTAATCTACAGTTTCACTCGTAATACGGGGGGCTAATCGTGATTATCATGTGAACGTTGGCGGTCAACAGTGAAGGTTGCCTTCGTCATAAAGGATGTGGCTGGCGATGAATTTACCATAAGACCCTTCTAGGCCTCTCTCAAGCATTCTTCTTACCCATCCGTTCCAGAGTACGTGGTCAACAAAGATGGAAGCTGTAACTGAAAGGTCTATCTGGGATTTGCGCATACTGGGGGGAATTTGTTGACCAAGTTTTCACACGTCACGGCATCCGGAAGGAGTCAACAATGTAGATGGATACCGGCGGTCAAAAAAACCTGGCTAGAATAAAGGGAAGTTGATCAACGGTATAGACGGTCCTGATCTACATGATGGCTCTCTGTACTCTATATAATATAACTACGTGAATTGTTCCCATTCCCATATCACATGAAGTTGGCAAGAGTAATGGGCTCACGAGAAAACATGGTAAATTTAAGAAATGTAATCAATAGGGTGCATGAACATGTAACACATCCCACTAGTTATCGACTTTTGTACTTAAAACAACCAAGAATCTCTCTTTTCCGATTTCTCCCACTCTCTTTTAAATACTTTCCAGTTTTCAGGGATACTGGTAATTTAGATGAAATTCAAGTAGTTCACTCTAGGCTATACTGTAGACACACGCTCTATGTAAGCTATTACTTAATGGCATAGTCCCATATTGGGTCACACTGCTCTTTACGTGCCGATTCAGGCTTATTTTGTTTAACTGAGTAATGCGCTTACTCGAGTGAAAATTGTTTTTTTGGGTAATACTTATTTCATTTATTCGGTTAGATCGGGCTGGGCTTTACCTCTATACTAATAAAATATATATGTTCAGGTTCAAATTCGAGCTTGGCCCAATCATCGGGTTTAGGTCTTGAATCCTAGCGCAGTTCTCATAAAAAGCTTGAAGAATGGGTCTGAATCCGATCTGAGCCAAAAATTTGACAAAAAAAAAGATTTTTTTTCTATTTTATTCAGTTAAAAACTATTTTATTTATATTAAAAGACCTCAAAATCTGAAAAAAAATAATGAAAATTATCACCATTATATATATATATATATATATATATATATTATATAAATATATTTTTATTATAAAATACATTATCAAGTTAGACTCGGACTAGGTTTTTTTGAGAAAGCATGGGCCTGGCCTGAAAAATGTCGGGCCCGATGTTTTAGGCCCGAGCCCGATCCCACAAGTCTGAAATCCTGTCCAAGCCCGACTTATATCGGGGTAGGGCAGGCTGGGCTGTCGGTTTACCCGACCTATGAATATGTCTAATAAAAGTTAATGTTAATAAAACATAATAGAACACATTTGCCCATTTTAATTTTTTTTCTTGTGTGTAAAAGTTAATTATCCACCTAAGATATGAATAAGTTTTATTTGGATAAATGAAAATCTCTTTACTAGGGGTGGCAATTTTACCCACAAAGCCGGGTCCTCGACCCGATCCGCCCCGAACGGGGGTGGATTTTCCCCAGTAACAAATGCATGCGGGTCGGGTTCGGGGAATTTTTTTTTGCCCCAGGGATGGGGCGGGGATGGAGTCTGCCTATAAATCCCCGACCCCGGTTGTAATTTACAATTATACCCCTTATATAGTGTATTAAATTATTAGGGTAAGAATAATACGTTCAGTCAACAATGTTCACTGTTCTTCTTCGCTCGCAGAGGTAGAACCAGATTACCAGAACCGCAGTTCGCAGTCGCAGTGTCAGTGTCGCACAACCTTCACAGAACACAACCGCCGATCGCCGGGCGTCGCCGCCACCGTAGAACCGCCGACTGTCGGCCACCGATCGCCGTAGCACAGTGCACAGAGTTGTGGCTCAGTCTGCAAGAGACCATCGTTTTTGTAGACTGAGAAACTAAGAAGTAAGAAGACTCGTTCGTTTGCCGACCACCCTAGCACAGAGCAAACCAGTTTTTGTTTTGAAAATAGCTCTCACTGGTACTTTTCCTTCATGACTTCTGTTGCTTCTTTTGTTGAAAGGTTTCCCTGTAAATGTGAATCGAAGTATGCTTTTACCTCGTATCATATCAAGAGCCTGCGCCTGCACTCATACAAAATATTGTTTCAATCTAAAAGAAGTTGCTTCTTCTGTTTTTATGTTTGTCTTTTGTGGTCTTTCGACCATTTAGTAATCTCGTCAAGACCGATTGGCCGAGGAAGGATGGAGTCGATGGACAAACAAAGAAGACTGAGAGAAGTGCGGTTTAGGGTCTTCAGACCTCACAGAGGTAGAGAGAGAGAGAGAGTGTGTGTCAGGGTGATGAGTACAATAAAAATGCAGTAAAACTCAGAGTAATTCAAAACAAAAACAGGAGCCATCCCTATTCGGGACTGGTGCTGGGCACAACTCAAAGGGTTAGATATTTAGAGGGTTGGCTCTTGAAACTCAGAATTTCAAGAGGGACTGTGGACTGTGGTCTGTGGTGCTGGGCACAACTCAGAGGGTTAGATATTGAGAGGGTTGGCTCTTGAAACTCAGAGTTTCAAGAGGGACTGTGGTGCAGTAAAACTCAGAGTTCATGGTTAGATATTGATGGATTCCAAAACCATCAAGGCTCGGAGTTCATGGTTAGATATTGATGATGATATTTCAATCTCCTAAGGTGTGGGAGAAAAAAATTTATGCCCGATTAATCTTTTCATCATGATGAGTTACATAGGCCATAGTATGATTGCTTTAGAATAACCTTAAGTCAATTGCTTTTCTTCCAATACGAGTAGCTTGAGCAAAACTTTGACTTTTCCTTTGATTATAGACTTGTTTATACTAAAAATTTATGCCGAATGCATGGTTATCAGTGAAGGGCTTATATTACCTTAGGGTTCTCTCTTAGTAGCCTTAATGCATGGTCATGGCATGGCATCTCTTAGTAGCCTTAATGAATTTGTATTTGTTATCATCAAAAAATATAATAAGATGAACAACCTCCCCCTTTTTATGATGACAAATTATTGGATGGAATTATGGAAATATTAAAATGTATAACATATTATGAAGCATGTTTATAAGCAAGCAAAGTTTAACGTCATATTTAGATTTTTCTTACAAAGTTCGTCCTTGGAATACATGCATGCTCCAAGCCAAAAGGTTGTTTGGTGAGACATTTGATAGTTTTCTTCTTTATTCGGATTGTGATAGTTTCCTCTTGTTTGTAGATCACCCCGTGGACACCGTTCAAGGAGTCCTAGGATGAGATACTGAGCCTGGGCTAAGGTGTAGCCCGTGTAGGGCCATTTGGTTTGTGGTTGTGGGATTGGAATTTAGAACCACGATGAAGGATTACGGTTGATACTTGTGAGTTGTGAGCAGTTGGTTGTGGTTTTTTTTTATTGCGGGACTAGCTTGTAGTTTTTTAATCCATTCTTATATTTTCTTTGTATTCCTCTTCTTTAAAACATATGGTGTTTGAGTTAAATTAAATACTTAGAATTTGTTACAGATAATGGTAAATTGCCTGGATTCAGTGCTCAGATGCCAATTTTCTTCATCACGGACTTGTCCACCATGGGACATGATTTATTCTTGATGGATGCTTGGTGTTTATACTTCATAGGTTCCACTCTCATGCTAATGAGCTACTGGTTAGGTCTTCAAACTGGTCAAATTGATTAGTGCAATGTGATCATTTTTATAGATTAAGGAAATAATGCAGGAGCTTAAGAAAGAATGATAATCGATTCTGGAAAGGACAACACTTCACTAGTTGGGTTTTTGGATCGAATTGGGTTTAATTGGTGATTGGATAGTAAGGATGTAAACGAATCAGAACTAATTCGGATGTGGTATATACTGTAATGTCAATGTGATCATTTAGAATTGGATACAGTCATCAGGGCAGGGTGGGTACATGTCGAGGATTACCCGTCTCCAGAACTTTGGTTGCGGGGTGGGTATATGTCGGGGATTCCTTGTCCTCGACAGAGTCGGGGATGGGGGTTGAATCTTCACCTCGATACCGGGGACGGGGCGGGGATGGGTGTGGGGATTTTAGCTATGGGGCAGGGATGGGGAGTGCCTGCCCCGCCCCCTTGCCATCCCTATCCTTTACTATGGGCCCATTACTTAATGCAAAAAGAACATTATAAAGTTGATGAATGAAAAAAAAAAATATCCATTGACCAATTCCCCCAATCGAATGACACCAGTAGTAGTGTTCAATTGCGCTTTCATCTATTAATAGTAATTGATACTATCCCAAAAATTCATTTTTCATAAAAACTATTAAAGCACAAAAAAAATGATCAATTATCCAATTAACTAAATTTACCCCACAATACCAACAAAGAAAGGGTCGGATCGAGAAGGTTATGTAGATGGTCTAGGTTCGGTTAAA